AAGTCCGGTGCAAAAACGTATGATCGCACGGGCCCGCCCGGTGCGTTCCAGCCTGGGTTGAATATATGCAATTGCGAAAATGCATATTGCGAAGATTCCGGTGTGTGTATGTGTGTGTGTGTGCGTATGTGTATGTATGTGTGTATGTGTGTGTGTCCGGGTATTTCAACTCGGCACCCAAGCATGCTCCGGCGCCAAAATTTTGCCAGTGAATTCCCCGTCCAAGTACCACCCCAGGACCGCAGTACCGTTCCTCACGCACATCTCGCATACGAGCCGTTCAAAGTTTTGGTGGGAAAATCGCTAAATCGAGAGCCAGAAAAGCTAAAAAGCTGAAACATTGCAGTTATGTTCCCCGACCACATAGAACTTAAGGATTTCAAATGAAGGATCCTGGCTGTGAAGGATCCTGGCTGGAAAATCGCTAAATTGGGATCCAGGAAAGTTAGAAAGCTGAGATTTTAAGGGAATGTTCCCAGTTCACAATCGAAACTTATCAAATTCAGCCCCCCAGCATGGTGGTTCCCACGTATGGCCCCGTGAAAATTTTTAGTGGGAAAATGGTTAATTCGAGAAACAGGAAAGCTGAGAGGCTAAAATTTTTAGGGAATGTTCCCAGATCATGTACAACTCAAAATTATTAAATTCAGCCCCCTGGCATGCGTAGTTCTCACGTACGGACTCGTGAAATTTTTTGGCGAGAATATGGGTAACTTGGGAAGTGCGAAGCTAAGACCTGAGACTTTAAGGAAATGTTCCCTGTCCAAGTACAGTGTAGACAACTAACTCCTCGAAATCCGAGTATTAGTATGTTACACATTTCTGGCTACTGGGTTTGGAGGCGAACTCATTACAGCACGAAACACTGCAAAAACGCGTGATCGCACGGGTTCGCCCGGTGCGCGTCGCCAATGATTTCTAATTGTATCGATTGATGCAAAAGGGCTGTAGGGAATTCTGTATTGCGTTGAGGGTTTTTTTTTTTGATTTTTAGTTAAGTAAATTCCTGTTGGTTTAGCAGGCCCAAAACATATGTAGAGGTGCTGGCATGCATGACGCCATGGCAAGAGACGTCACTCCCATGCTGAGGATCGAGAGTTTGGCTCCACCAGCGGGAGAACCAAACTCTGTGTCTTTGAGACACTTCTGAATGCCTCTTACCTCTCAAAAGGAGAAAATCATTCCCATTCCATGTAATTTGTTGGAATTAAGAACTAGCCGAGACTGAGCTGCTGCTCCAGCGTGAGCTCGCCCGACGGCAAATTAGGGTTGGTGTAGTCGCGACTCTTGTCGTTGTTATATTTCACGTTAAGCGTAGCAAGTTTGCTGTAGTCGATGCGAAGGCAGCAGCATCCGTTGTATACGTTCTGGCCGTCCAGCGCTTGCCGCGCCAATTGCGCACTATTCGCTTCACTGAGTTGCACGAGCGCTTGGAACGTATCTGAAAATTGCTTACCTACGAAGTGAGAAACGCCAAGTTCCATCAAATAAATATTACTGAAAAAGAAGACGAACTTTTGGTGCCGGCAACGATACAAGACCTCGACAATAACCAATTCACCCCGACCCTAATTTATATATTTGTAATCTGATTATGTATAATGTATATCATTTTACTACGTGTTGCGTTACGTCCGTCGATTTTTTATCATTTGTTGATGGAGGTTATATTACCCAAGTTGGAGGGTACAAGGACGATAGGAGCCGACGAACCGAGCTTAAGGAATCAAAACAGCCGACGGATCGTGCTCGCCAAAACAAAGTGAAGAAGGAGTCCACAAGCTGCATTCGCCAAACAATCAAAGGAGAGCCGACGCACTGCGCTCAATTGAGGAGCTTGGACTATCGCTACTACAGGCCACTCTGCCAGCCTAGACCTGTACTTCTTTAGTATAAATTCTTTGGGGCGGACAACCAGAAGAGCTATCGTTGCAAGAACTTATCATCGTCCACGACAAGCGGCACGAAATTAGCTTTTGACTCACCGTTTTTCACCGCGTGCGTAAAAATGAGACCGAGGCTGGAACGCACCGGTGCGATCATGCGTTTTTGCACTAAACTCACAGATCGCTATTAGCAGGAATGATTCCTACGCT